CTGAGTTAGAGAATTTGAGTACTAGTTGAGAAGATATTAAGTATCGGGTGAAGTTGAATTAAATTGATATTTAAAAAAATATGGTGTAAAATATACAGCAGAAAACTTAGAAAGTCGCTTTAAAAAAGTGGGTATACTTCGCAAAATGAATAAGAAATTTGCGGATGATGCTACCTATTGAGAAGGGGGTCAGTGCAATTGAGGTGGCAGTCACAACCTCCATGAGGATTGCCAAACCTTAGCCAATGCTTTTAATAAAATCGATAGTTTAGGGAATATCAAAAAAGAGTTGCTAGACACTACTAGCAAGCAAGAATACGAAGCTAAAAAAGAAAACTTTCTCAGAAAAGTCCAAGAAGCAGAATCAGGTTTACAAATCAGAACTGGTGCCGCTAGTTCCATGTTCGGCATTTGTATTATTTGAGCTGATGAAGCCTCCAATAAGCATGTGGAAAGAATAATCAAGGAGGTTCAAAAAGAATTAGACAAAATAAAAACTTCCTTAGGAAAAGAAAGTTATAAATGAGTGGAAGAAATAAAACAACTTGACTTAGAAATAGGAAAGATTGAAACTGAGATTCAAAAGTTAAAAAAAGAAGCTTTGGATGAGAAAGACCCAGTGCGAAGAGCAAAAATTATGGAATTAATTGAAGAGCAGGGGAAAAATTTAGAAGCAAAATATAGAAAAAAACAAGAACTTTCTAATAAATTCAATTTTGACCCAGGAAGAAAAGTTAATAACCTAATAAATGCTATAAAAAAGGCTCTTGATAAAAAAGATAGAAGCAGTGGAGGGGGAGGAAGTAGAAATCCAAGAACTTCACGCAATCCTAATAATTCTGATACTTCTTCTGATAGTGAAAGTTCTAATTACTCAGATACTGATGATGATAATATAAAACCTAGTGCTAGGAAGAAAAAGAAAGAAAGTCCCCAAAACTGATGACGAGAAAACCGACCATTAATACTCCTAGTCAGTGTTGCCTGCCTAGTTATTTTTTATCTTTACTCTCAACCCGAAGAAAACACCGGACAACCACGAAATTATTACTAATATGACTAAATACAATCTCGAAGAATTTAACCAGTGATTAAAGAAAAATCTAATAGGTAAACAAGTAAGCATAAACTGAGACCAAGTTTTTGCCTGAATTAGCCAAGACCAAGGCCTAGAAAATTATTTGAGCAAAAAAAGGGAGCATGATTCTCAACTTTATAGTTCAATGGAAGAAAAAAAGTAAAGAAATAATTAGGGAATGGATGAAAGAAGTAGACCAAGCAGAGAGAGAGAGAGAGAGAGAGAGAGAGAGCAAAATTGAGGAACTGCGGAAGCGAATTGAGGTATTAGAGGCAATTGTTAACCGAACACCCCAGCAAGAACAAGAGTTAAAGAATAAAAAGCAAGGGTTGGTAGAGTTAGAAAAGGAAAAGCAAGAACAAAATCCTAATCAGAAAAGTTGATGACCTTGAATAGTTGGAGGTGGGGTTTTCCTAGGTTTAGTGGCAATTATTGTTTACTTATTAGTCAGAGATAAGGAGAAAAAGTATTAAAATAGGGGTATGGAAGCAAAAGAATTATTGTTAGAATTAAAAAGAAAATTAGAACGGGGTGACAGTGGTATAATAATTGGGTTTGGAGAAACAACTAAGGGAGTTAAAACCCTTTCTACTATGGATGGAACAGTGGTTGTTGACCTAGTTCAAATAGCCAAAGACCACATGAAAAGATTAGGATATGAAGGAATATTTAGCGGAGATTAATTAACTACTGATAAGTCATCTGTTTACCTACTACCGAGGAAAGTAATAAGTCAAACCTTTCTCGCTCCCCATATTTTCTAGTATTATAACGAAAAGCAAACTCATTAGTGTATTTTTGGGTATATTTTTTACTTATCCAATGATAAGTGCGAATACCTCCTTTTAAGAAACCATTAAAGTTTTCAGCCGAGTTAACAGAAACTTTACCTTTGACATATTGCTTCTTTCTATGATTAACTATTTGGTGTTTATATCACTTTCCTAAATCCTTATAAGCCAGTCATTCATCAGTATAAACATTAGAACCTTTTTCAACATTGGACTTGATTATTGGTTCCAAAGTATTTCGTTTAACATTAGGAACTACTTGGGCGATTACATTACCTTTTCTTTCTAATATTCCTAAAACAGGAACTTTGTCTATGAAACTTCGACCTTGGGAATTAGGCACCTTTTTATTTCAGTGGCGGTTTTTATTCTTACCACCAATAAAGGTTTCATCTATTTCTACGCTATTTTCTAACATAACTTTTAAAAAAGTTAGTTTGTTTAATGTTGTCTCGTAAATCATCTAATAACCAATAAGCCGATTTTTGACTGATACCAAGGTCTTTGGCTAGTTGACAAGAGGAAATGCCTTTTTTATGAGTAGAGAAAAGATACATGGCTAAAAACCAATCTCTTAACTTTATCTTGGTGTCAGCAAAGATAGTGCCAGTTTTAACATTAAAGAATTTGCCCGTGTTCTTACACTTATATCGGTTAATGCTAGGGCAAAAATAAACTTTGGAAGTTGGGTCAAAAGGAGAGATTACATTACCATTTCATCTATGACTTTCTAAATACTCAATACACTCTTGCTCGGAGGGATAAGATTTTAAAAAATCAAATAAACTTTCGAGATTTAATGACATATTTAAATTTTGGTGTAAAATAAATATTTTATTTTCTTTGTATAAAAAATTTTCTATATATGCCAACCCTTAACCTAAAAAACATTACCATCAAAAAATTAGAAGACAAGAATTTTAACACCTACTATTTAATTATCAAAAAAATAAAAGAAGCCGAAACCGACAGCGAAAATAAAATCTATTATGACCCAAAAAACAAGCCTGGTATCTCCAATCTTTTAACCATTTATGCTCTTTTGCGGGAGTGCGAAATAAAAGAGGTAGTAAAAGAAGTAGAGAACCTTAATTATCATCAATTTAAATTGAAACTTATTGATTTACTTAATGAAAAATTAGGGGTAATCCAAAAAAAATATAATCATTACTTTCCTCATATTAAAGAGATAATAAAAAAAAACAATGAATATTTAAAAAATTTAGCTAAAAAAAAGATAAAAATGATTAAAGAAGAACTAAAAATACAATATTAGCATACCTAAACCAAAAAAAATAATGAGTAATAATTTCTTATGACAAGATTTTCATTTAAATAAAATTGATCCCAGTTGAGAAACTTTTTTTCAGAAAGAATCCCAAAAAGATTATTTTTTTGCTCTTTTGTCCAGGCTTGATGAGGAGTACAAAAATTATAAATGCTGACCTAGAAAAGGAAAGTAAATTACAAAATAAATATAATTTGTCATGACGAAAACCAAATTAGAGTAAACAATTGACCTAAAATATTAGACAAAATAAAGGAGTTAGTCGCCCGGGATAAAAATTGAAAATTAGTAGAGGAATATTGAATGGTAATGAGTTCAGAGGGAACAAAAAATCCTCGCCAAGGAGTAAAATTAATGAAAAATAGTGAGAATGTCGATATTTATTGTGAAGTGGAAAGCAAGTTTGGCGTTAATAGCGAGAAAATGAAAGACTATTTGAAATGAATTAGTGAAGTAGAAAAAATTATTTCCCATGATAGTGAAAAATATTGACCGCAACCACCAACTCCGCCGACTGAACAAACACCTTATGTTCCACCGACCGAACCCCAACTCCCGACCTCACCTAATCCAATTGACAATCGAGACAAAAGCGGAGAAGGAATTATTTCTCGTTTTGCTGGTTGCCTTGATTTAGAAGCAGCCAAAAAATTTATCAAAGAATACTATCAAAAAAATCAGACTGAAATCCACAAAAATCCTGATTTTGCTCGCTGAATAAGGGTTGGGAAAACCGATAAAATATCAGAGAAAGGCCAATTTATAATTATTTATGTGGGAAATCCCGTAAAATATTCTGCTGACCTGCCTGATTATCAGAAAGAAATTTACGATAAATTAGACTACTTTTATAAAAATGAACTAACTTTAAGTTTAGGAGATAGGTATCAAAACACGGCAGAAGTGGAACAAGAACTCAAATCTTGCTGAAATAGTTTGCTAGGAAAAAAAGAAAATGAAAATACTCCTACTGATAAAGGCACCAAAAATAAAATAGAAAAATTACGCCAGGAAATTAAAGATTTAGAAAGCAATTCGTCAGCCAATAATAGTTCTGAAAATCAAAAAGCATTAGCGGATAAAAGAAAAATACTGAAAGAATTAGAGAAAGGAGAAAATAATACTGATAATTCTAATAAGTCTGATGACAGTAATTTGGCGATTTATTTAAGTTTGGGTGGAGTTGTTATTTTACTAATAGGTGGCGTTTTTTTAGTTTTGCAATTTCGCAAAAGAAAGAGGAGATAAATTTTACCTTTTCCTCCAAAAGAAACCGAAAAAGAATGAAGGGTAATTGTTATGAGGAATTAGCGAAAAATTAATGTCCAAAAGTGAAAATGATTATATTGCTCTATTAGATAAACCTGAGATTATTATCAATAACGACAACCCTGACGAAGCTTTTTTTTGCTTTGAAAGAACAGTAAAAGAAGGTTGGAATGACTTAATAAGCAACTATGAGAATATAAAAGAAGTAGAAATTGAGTTTGAGGAAAAAGAAGCCAATTTCAAAACTTATCGGAAAGTGATTAGTTTATACGCTCCCCAAGAAGGAGAAATTATTGTTTAGGTGAAAACTGAAAAAGTTTTTTTGGACTTTTAAATAAAAGGCCATGAATATATTCTCAGCCACTTTAAAAGCCTTAAAATTCCTGCTGAAATTATTGGCTAATTTGGTAGGTAGTAAGCGAAAAAGCCAAAAAAGTGAATTAGAACAAAAACAACTAAAACATGTTCGGAATTTTACTCCTACTCATTATAGTTGGCAGCAGCGAGCCAGAAAGAAACTAACTAAAAAACAGCAAGAATATTACCAAAAGGAACAAAAAAGAAAGCAAGCACCTATAAAACCAAACTAAAATAAATATAGTTGCCAATTACTTATCTCCCCATACTCCGATGTTAAATCCTGCCGAATTAATTATTAATGTAGTCCGACATAATATTGAGAAATCTTGCTCTTAAACATCTCAAGAACTTAAAGAGGCAATTGATAAGGAGATAGCGAGATTGAATAAAGAGGATTTAATTGATTATATATTTGAATAATTTTAGTGATTTTTTCCTTAATTTCTGTCTATAAATAGAGCAGTTGAGAAAATACGTTTAGCAAAAAATTAATAATGAAAAGTTTTATGTTGTTTTTCCTCAGAAAACCTTAAGGACAAGCATAAGGGATAAATAGTAAATGGAAAAAATCGAATTTATGAGAAAAGTCGGAAAATCAGTAGCCACTATCTTAAAAAAATTAAAAAAGGAAATAAAAGTGGGTAATTCGGGTCAAGGTTTAGATAAATTGGCTCGCCAGTTAATGATTGAAGAAAAAGTTCAATCATCCAGTTTAAATTATAAGGGATTTCCCGCCTCTATTTGTGTTTCAGTAAATAATGAATTAACTCACGGGATACCTAATGAACGACTTTTCCAAGCAGGAGATTTAGTTTCGATTGACGTGTCCTGCAATTATCAAGGTTATCACGCTGACGCTGCTTTAACTACTATTGTCAGTGAAGGAAACGAAAAAAAAAATAATTTGTTAAATATAACTAAAAATAGTTTATATTATGTCATTCAAAACATTCAACCTAATATTACTACTACCCAAGATATTGGTGCTATGTTAGAAAAATATATCCGAGCCCGTGGCTATTATCCTATTAAAGAATATGGTGGCCACGGAATTGGTGAAGAACTACACATGAAACCCTTTATCCCAAATTATAAAACCCCGCAAAAAGGTAAAATTATTAGTGAGGGAATGTTTATTTGTATTGAACCGTTGGTCCAAATTGGCGACGAAGAAATTAAACTTTCAGCGGACAAATGAACCGTAATTTCCAAAAATGGCAATTTAAACGCTCATTTTGAACATACCATATATATTACCAAAAACGGGGCGGAAATATTAACTGATTATGACAAGTAAAGATTTTTTTCAAACGCGTGGCAAAGTAATTAAGCGATTTAGTAATAAAGATTTTCAGGTAGAGTGCGATAATGGACAAATAATTATGGCCGACACGGCGGCTCGTTTCCGCACAGCAAGCGGAAAAAGAAAAGCTAAAATATTAGTAGGAGAAAGAGTAGTAGTAGAAATATCTTTAAAAGATTTAAAGAAAGGGCAAATAGTAGGTTTGGTCGAAACTCGTTCCCAAAATTAAATGAAAAAGCGAATGCACACAGTTTTACAACACTACACTTTAATTCTTCCTAATCTTCCTCCTTGTTATATTAAGCAAAAGCAAAACACTTATTCCTAGAAGTAACAGCCAAGCCAGACTAAACTGAGTAATAATTTGTTCTTTATTTCTTAATTTAGTTTCTAATTGCTGAATAACTGTCAGGTCAGCCTTGGGTATTTCTTTAACTATTATTTGAGGTTCTTGGGCTTGTTGTAGTTGAGTTTGGAGTTGCTGAATAGTGGCTTTTTGTTGGTTGATTTCAGTTAGTAAGGTTTGGTTTTTGCTTGTCTGAATAACAGGAGGCTTATTTTTTAGTTCTCTAATTTCTTGCTCTAATTCTCCTATTTTTTGCTCTTTTTCTTGGTTTTCCTGCTGTAATCTGGTTAATTCGCTTTGCCACTTATCACGGTCTTTTTTAACTCTTTCCAGTTTGCTATTATCCGGAGACGGGCATTTATGGTTTTTTTGCTCTTGTACTAACTCCTTGATTTTTTGGGTGGCTTTGTTTTTTTTATTGGTTAGAGCAGTTAAGAAGTTACTTTGCTGGTTAATTACTTGGTCTTTTTCTGATAATAAGTTGTCTAAGTCAATAACTTTATCTTGCCAATTACCTTCTTCCTCTGTTCACTGACTTTTTTGGGATTTAAAAAAAGTTAAATGCTGGTTAAGGATAAGAGATAATTGCTTATTTTTAGCTTTTTCTCGGGTTAAAGTTTCAGTTAATTTAGTTAAGTTTTCTTGGTAAAAACCCTGGGCTAATTCTAACTGACCTTGGAGTAAAGTTTCATAGCCGCTGGCTAATTCTTTTTGTAATTCTCTGTTATTCTCCTGACTAGTGCTTAATTGTTCCTCTAACTCACTTATCCTTTCCTCTTTTTTAGAACAATTACTATGTTCAGTTTTTATTGCTTGGTAGTAATCAGCTAAGGTCTCGTAATCTTGAACTAACTCATTATGTTTACCTATGACAATACTAAGTGTGTTTTGGGTTTTTTCTAACTCAATTTTGTTCTTAGCAACTAACGAAGTTAGTTGGTGTTGAAAATCGTCTCTCTCTCTCTCTCTCTCTCTCTCTCTCTCTCTCTCTCTCTCTCTCTCTCTCTCTCTCTCGTCGTCATTAACAGAAGCAATTGGGGGGTTAGATTAGCAAATTTTTTACTTACTTCCTTATTAGCGTTCAAATTATCCCTTAGTTTGACTAAGAAAGTTTCATTTTTTACTCATTCCTCGCGGGGTATCTCACTTTGGATAATTTGTGCTATTTCTTGGATTATTTTTTGATTTTCCGTTTCTCAGATTTGGATTCTGTTTTCAAAAAAAAAAGCTTGAGCTGCTAATTCTTGACTATTGATAAAAATCTCTTGTCTTTTTTTTAAATCACTCAAGGTTTTTTGGGTTTGATAAATAAAATTGAGATTTTGGTTAAAAGTTGTTATTTTTTGGTTTAGTGGCTGACTAAATTTGTCTTCTTTGGATATTGGCATATAGTTTTGATTATTTAATATAATATTTTAATCTCCAAAGAACAAAAAAAGAAGTAAAAACTTATTAAATGACCCTTCCTAATAAACCCCGCGGCACTCAGGATATTTGTCCCCCCCGTTCTCTCCTTTATCAAAAAATCCAGCAAATTATTACCGAGGTATTACGAAAAAATAATTATCAACCCCTAATTTTTCCGACTTTTGAATATAAAGAATTATTTACTAGTTCTTTAGGCTCCACTACCGATATTATTCATAAGGAAATGTATACTTTTCCCGATAGAAAAGGGCGAAAATTAGCGTTGCGACCAGAGGGAACCGCCAGCACAGTCCGTTTAATCTGCGAAAATAAGTTAATTAAAGAAGGCTATCCTTTAAAGTTCTATTATTGGGCCAATATGTTCCGTTATGAACGACCCCAAAAAGGGAGATATCGCGAGTTTTGACAATTAGGAGTAGAATTAGTTAATGCGGACGGAATTATTGCTGATTTTCAAATATTAAAATTGCTAGCTGATATTTTTCGTGGCTTAGGAATTAAAAACTTTACTTTTAATTTAAATTATTTAGGAGATAGTAAAACAAAAAAAAGGTATAAAAAGGAACTAGAAAAGTTTTGGGAGCAAAACGACCCTGATTTATGTGAAGATTGCCAAAGGAGGTTTCAAACTAATCCACTCCGTCTACTTGATTGTTTGCTTTGTAAAAAAAAAAACTCTTTTCCGCCTTATAAAAATGCGTGAGATAGCGATAATATTAACTACCTAAATGAACTGAATCAAATATTAGATAAGTTTAATTTTCCTTATCAATATGATTATTATTTAGTGCGAGGCTTAGATTATTATACAGGACTGGTTTTTGAGGTTAATTTGGAAGGAGAAAAGGCTCTGTTAGGTGGTGGACGATATGATAAACTTTATCAAGAAATAGGAGGTATAAACTCTCCCGCTCTAGGCTTTGCTGTCGGAATTGAACGTTTGGTGGATTATTTAGAATTTTGTGGATTAAGTTCCGAATTATTGAAAGATAATAATAGAGTTGATATATTTTTTTTTGCTGCTGCTCCCGAGGCTTATTTAGACATCTTGATTTGGAAAGAAAAATTAGAAAACTATCTTTTAGCAGCAGATTATAACCTAGAAGTTAGGAAAATGAAAACTCTCCCAAAAATTATTGACTATTATCAGCCTCGAATATTAGCAATAGTGGGAGGGAAGGAGTTAAAAAGTAAAAAAATACTGATAAAAAACTGACAAAAAAAACAAGATTTTGTGGTGGCAAAAGAGAAATTAGTAGAATGAATTATTAATTATTTAAAAAAACGCTAGGCAACCTTTCCCCCCTCCGTTAAGGTAAAAAACTAATAATTTAAATGCTTATTTATTACTTTTTCTCCCTGCTTCAAGAAGAAAAAACGTTCAAAAATTGTAAAAACTTTTTTTGCCTCCTCTGGTTAAAAGTCAAGCCAACAGTTAAGAAACAACTAAAATGCACGTGTAATCTATTATTTTATTTATTTGTATTTGTATTAACTGGTACGGGACAAGGGACTTGCACCCTCACATTCCAAAGAACATCAGGTCCTAAGCCTGACGCGTATTCTATTCCGCCAATCCCGCTTTTTATGGTGTCCTGTGGAGGGATCGAACCTCCGACTCTTTGCTTAAAAGGCAAATACTCTACCGCTGAGTTAACAGGACTTTTTATTTTAAAGTTTCTAATGCTAATTTAATTCTTTCAATTTCACTGCGGGCATTTAATCAATTTAATAATCCTTTCATTACTAAGAACAAAGCAGAAAATCAAATTATAATTCAAATAATAAAGATAATGGGGAAGAAGTTTTTTTCTAGAAAAGTGGCTAGTTTTTCAAGGGTAGTTGACTCTCCAAAACCGAAATTCCTTTGCTGGTTAGCGTGAAAAATAATAGCGTTATAAAACCACGTGAGGAGAAAATTAGTAATTCCTATTATACTGCCTATAACTAGTAATTTAAAGCCACTTTTTTTCTTTTTAGTTTCTTTTACTAATTCCTTCAATAATTGTTCTTGTTTTTGCATTTTTGACTACGCTCCAGCCACGACCAAGAGAGAAAATAATATTAGATAAAATAATAAACTATCATTCCTAAACCAACGAAAAGCAATGGCCAAAGGGCAAACAGACTAACTACCATACAAACAATTCCCCCAATTAGCCAGCCAGTGTTTTTTTTTTTTTTTTTTTTTTTTGCTTTTCCACCATGTATTATTTATTTTTTATATATCTTTTTCCATCATAATACTGCATAAATAATTAAAAGAATAAGATTAAAAGTAAAAACTCCCAAGATAATTCTTCAACAAAAAACCGACGGAGCAAACCAACCTTTTTGCTTATTGAGTAAATGTAAACAAATTGATAATATACTAACTATTAAACTGATATTTATTAGTGGTTGGCAATAAATGCCGTTTCTTTTCATAAATTAATTTTAACTTGGCTGGGGTGGCTGGGATTGAACCAACGAATCAAGGAGTCAAAGTCCTTTGCCTTACCACTTGGCTACACCCCAAGAACTGCTTTTGGCTAACTGTTCCTGTCTAAATAATATTTTAGCATTTGAATATCAGTCGGATTAATACCGGCTATTCGGCGGGCTTGTCCGAGGGAAGCAGGCTTAATTTTGGTTAATTTTTCTTGGGCTTCCCGAGCTAAATTATCTATTTGGGAATAATCAAGGCTGGATGGAATTTCCCTTTTTTCGTAGTTGCTTAGGTTTTCTACTTCTTCTCATTGTCGTTTAATATAACCTTCATATTTAATATTTACTTCTAATTCGCGTTGTTCTTCTCAACTTAATTCTTTAATTTTCGGTATTCAAGGCTGAAAATCATTTAGCGAAATCATACTTTTTTTTAATAAATCATAGCCCCTTATTATACTAATTGTTTTTCAGTGGCTAATATCTAAGCGGGGAAAGTTTTGTGTCAGAGTATCATTGACATTAAAGATTAATTCTTGTAGTTTTTGGCTAATTTCTTTTTGGATTTTTCGTTTTTCTTGAAACATTTTTCAATCCTTATCACTTATTAGACCCAGTTGGCGGGTAATAGGTCATAAGCGAGTATAAACATTGTCATGCCTTAATAATAAACGATATTCAGCACGGGAAGTTAAAAGACGGTAAGGGTCATTAATTTCTTTGGTTACTAAATCCTCAATTAATACTCCAATATAAGCCTCACTTCTTTTCAAAATCAAAGGTTCTTTTTTTTTTAATTTGCGACTAGCATTTATTCCTGCGATTAGACCTTGGGCAGCAGCTTCCTCATAGCCAGTGGTGCCATTAATCTGTCCAGCGGTAAATAACCCTTCAACTAATTTAGTTTCTAAATTAATTTTTAATTGGGTAGAGTCCACCACATCATATTCAATCGCATAACCTCACTTTTTAGCTTGGGCTCTTTCCAAACCGGGCAAAGTTTTTAAAATCTCCGCTTGGATTTCGGTGGGCAAAGAAGTAGATAAACCTTGAATATAGGTAGTGTCTAATTCGCAAGATTCCGGCTCCAAAAATATTTGGTGTCGTTCTTTATCAGCAAAACGAAAAATCTTGTCTTCAATGCTGGGACAATAGCGCGGACCAGTGCCGATATTTTTTTTATGAAAAATCGGAGATAAGTGAAAATTCTCCCGAACAATTTGGTGGGTTTTTTCATTAGTGTGAAGTAAATAGCAAGGTAATTGTTTTTTGAAAGGTAATAATTGAGAAAAATCACTCCGCGAGGAAAATCTTAATGGCAAATTAGTGCCTGGTTCTGTTTTTAGGTTAGAAAAATCAATCGTGTTAGTTAAAATCCGCGGACTAGTGCCAGTTTTAAAACGTTTTAATTTAAAACCTAATTGCTGTAATTGCTGAGAAATATTATTTACTACTTTTTTTTCGCCGTCTGGTCCTTCTATTTTACTTTCTTTACCTTTATGGGTAATTGGTTGTAAATAAGTACCAGTAGTTAATATTATCACTTGGGAGTGAATAACCTTTCCATTGTTTAGTTCTACTCCTTCTATTTTTCCTTCTTTAATCAATAAATTGTCAACTGCTCCTTGAATAATAGTTAAATTTCCTTGTTCGCTTACTACTTTTTGCATATAGCAAGCATAAGTAATTTTATCTGATTGAACTCTTAATGCTTGAATGGCTGGTCCGCCTGCTGTGTTTAATAATTTAAATTGGAGAGCAGTAGCGTCGGCGGCTTGGCCCATTTCTCCCCCCAAGGCGTCAATTTCTCGCACTACTATTCCTTTGGCTGCGCCGCCCACTGACGGATTACAAGGCATGAGACCAATTTTAGATTTATCCAGAGTAATTAAAGCCACTTTCTGGTCTAAGCGGGAACTAATTAAAGAGGCTTCAATCCCCGCGTGCCCCCCGCCTATTACTATAATGTCGAAATTGCTAGTATTTTCTTGCTTCATAATATTAAATGTAGGGTTTTAATTAACAATTATGGTGGATCTTGAAGGACTTGAACCTCCAACCACCCGGTTATGAGCCGGGAGCTCTAACCAGTTGAGCTAAAGATCCTTCTTTTCTTATTAGTAATTTTATGTCGTTTTTAAATTAATTAATTAAAAAGTTTGATTAGAACGTTAGTAAAATTCATTAAGAGAGTCGTAAATAACTAGCCAAAACTTCTCAAAATGAATGAAAAAAATAATTTTAAACTCGGCCTATCTAAAAAGGAATTCTTAATAATTTCTCTCACTACTTCACTACATTTATTGGGAATTATAGTAAATTTTTTGCAGATTAATATTCCTTTTCCTTTTCATCTTCTCCGTTTTTTTTCTTGGTGATCAGTTCACACTTCAATTTTCACTGTCTTGGCGACAGTTATGATATTTAGGGAAAAAAAACGTTCTTCTTATTTTTCCCAGTTTATTATTTTGCTTGCGACGCTGTATAACTTAATTACTTTTGGCTTTTGAGTTTATTGTTTGCTTTTCGCTGAGGTCGAATGAAAAAAATCATCATTATTGAATTGGCAGTCATTTTCTTGACATTTTATTGCTCCACTTTTGACTATTTTTTATTTTTATCTTTATGCTCAGGCAGATAAATTAAGGAAAAAACTAGTAAAGACTTTATCGTTTTCTTTCATTGCTCCAGTTTTTTATTTTTTTTATGTCTGAACTCTGGCTAAGCTTAATGTGGGGGAAACCAGCAGTTTATTTCCTCATTTAGAAAAATATCCTTATTTCATTTTTGAATGAATTGTGGAAAGAGAATGAAAGCAATTTATTGCTAATTTTTTGCTTGCCCTTTTCACCTTTCTTTCTCTTTGCTCCTTAATAATTTGAACCAAAATAATCTATGACAAGAAAAGACTAAAAAATTAGTTTAAATATGAAATTATCCTTAGAAGAATTAAGAAAGAAAAAATTAACTGAATTATCACTAAATCCTTTTCAACAAACTAAATTTCCTAAAACTATTAATACTCTTTTGATTATTCAGCAATTTTCCCAGTTTAATAAAGAAGAATTAGCCGAACAAAAAAAAGAAGTAAGTATCGCAGGAAGAATATTGAGAATAAGAAGTTTTGGTAATTTAACTTTCGCTAATTTAGCCGACCAAACTGGAATCATCCAATTAAAAGTTAGTAAAAATGAGGATTTTACCGAGTTAGATATTGGCGACATTATTGGAGTAAAAGGATTTATTTGCAAGACTGATAAAGGTGAGTTGAGCGTTGAAGTCAAAGAATTTATTTTATTAAGTAAATGTTTAAAGCCTCTTCCTGATACTCATTATGGCTTTAATGATATTGAAGAAAGATTTCGCAAACGATATTTAGACTTTATCATCAATTCTGAAAAGAGGAAAATTTTTCTTATTCGCCACCAGATAATTCAAAATGCTCGTAAATTTCTTGATGAAAAAGAATTTATAGAAATTGAAACTCCCATACTTGTCTCAGAGGCTTCGGGA